TCCAGCTTATAGAACTTGTTCTGAATGTTGTTGCGATACTCACACTCCCCATCAGAGACACGTAAGCTGACAGTGTTCCAGCTTATTGCACTTGTTCTGAGCAATGTAGAAATACTCACCCTCCCCAGCGGAGACACTTAATCTGAAGATGTTCCAGCTTATAGAACTTGTTCTGAATAATGTTACGATACTCACACTCACCATCAGAGATACGTAAGCTGACAGAGTTCCAGCTTATTGCACTTGTTCTGAGCAATGTAAAAATACTCACCCTCCCCAGCGGAGACACTTAGTCTGAGGATGTTCCATCTTGTAGCACTTGTTCTGAGCGATGTTGAAGTAAAATTCTCCGACAGCATTAGAAGTCTGAGTATTCACTTTCATCAGACACACCCTGAAGTCTTCGTCACACTTACAATTTAATCTAGAGAGAAAATCCAAAAGGAAGATTTTTGAAATAAAAAAGGGTAATCTAAAATAAGGTAAAGCTAGACAACGAGCAACGTATGTCTTTGTCGGAGAGTTTTGTGCAGGGGCAGAACACTCACAATTTTCAGATGTAACCTCTTTTCGCAAGTCTAAAAAATGAAGGAAATTAAGAGAAATTTACGTAGTATAGTATTGTTAATTTATTTTAAACTTACACGTCTTTGAGAAATATAATGTTCACATACGTGTGACGATACGTGTGGTGTTTGTGTATCTCCATACACTGTGCTTGACCTGTCCTGGCAATCTTCGTCTAAACACACTCTCTCTCTCCTATTTCATCTCAATAATATTATTGCACGCCAAAATAATTTTAAAAGTTTTTTACAAAAGCAGAGATAAAAAAGATTATATAGGGTTACTTACTTAACAATACAGATTATTCTAAATGAAAATAAAGGCTCGCTGGTACAATAGTAGGTTTCAATTTATGTAATGACTTTCTAGTTAATAATTCTGAAGCCACGAGAGCTCTCTCTAATGACTACAATTTTCGTTATTTTTTGTTTTTATTTTAAGGATAATTTGTCATATATTACAGAAAGTGAGTGAAGTTCATGCTCTGTTCTCTCGTTACATTTTCACAATTGGCAATGCGCTCATCTTCTGGTTAAGAGCTGATTTCCTTATTTCATAGCAAGAGATTCTAGTATCTAAGTTGACATTATTCACGAATATAGAGGAAAGAGATGAAGTGGAAGAAACTGGAGGTAGGCACAATATCACATTCATTTAGACAGTGGCTGGTAATACAACTGGTGTTGTAGGTTTAGACAGTGGCTGGTGATACAACTGGTGTTGTAGGTTTAGACAGTGGTTGATGATACAACTGGTGTTGTAGGATTAGACAGTGGCTGGTACTACATCTGGTGTTGTAGGATTAGACAGTGGCTGGTAATACAAATGGTGTTGTAGGTTTAGACAGTGGTTGGTAATACAACTGGTGTTGTAGGACTAGACAGTGGCTGGTAATACAACTGGTGTTGTAGGATTAGACAGTTGCTCACCAGTTGTATTACCAACCACTGTCTAAACCTACAACACCAGTTGTATTACCTTGTAGGTTTAGACAGTGGTTGGTAATACAACTGGTGTTGTAGGTTTAGACAGTTGCTGGTAATACAACTGGTGTTGTAGGTTTAGACAGTGGTTGGTAATACAACTGGTGTTGTAGGTTTAGACAGTGGTTGGTAATACAACTGGTGTTGTAAGTTTAGACAGTTGCTGGTAATACAACTGGTGTTGTAGGTTTAGACAGTGGTTGGTAGCACAACTGGTGTTGTAGGTTTATACAGCAGTCGGTAATACTACAGAGTATTAGGTTTTAGTGTTACAATTTTCTTTTATTTGACTGTAGATCCATCTTGTGGTTGATACAATATATCTCTCGTTACAGCTCCTGTACGTTATCAAGATTTCAAGAAAGAACAGACCATGAATTCGATGACTGATTAGAAGATGTACTAAAAACAAGCAATATAAATTATTTTATGCAAAGTATTCTGAACGCACATTCATTCACCTTGAACAGATTACCTATTGCAGGGCAACACATTGATCCTTCTTAAATAGCTCATCTTGATATGTTAGCAACATGTCTTTACCCAACTACTAACACACTTATTTTGAATAGCTAGTTCATCTTTCTCAAGGTTATTAACATTTCTATATTCAATAGCTAGTTCATCTTTCTCAAGGTTATTAACATTTCTATATTCAATAGCTAGTTCATCTTTCTCAAGGTTATTAACATTTCTATATTCAATAGCTAGTTCATCTGAAGGGTATTCTGGTAACATACTAATCTCCAATAGCTAGTTCTTCTTCTACAGGGTATTCTGGTAACATACTAATCTCCAATAGCTAGTTCTCTCTGATGTTACCAGAATACCCTAAGATGAACTAGCTATTGGAGATTAGTATGTTACCAGAATACCCTGTAGAAGAAGAACTAGCTATTGGAGATTAGTCTACAGGGTATTCTGGTAACATACTAATCTCCAATAGCTAGTTCATCTTCTACAGGGTATTCTGGTAACAGACTAATCTCCAATAGCTAGGTAGTTCATCTGAAGGGTATTCTGGTAAAATACTAATCTCCAGTAGGTAGTTCTTCTTCTACAGGGTATTATGGTAACACACTAATCTCCAAAATATAGTTTATCTTCTACAGCATAACCTGATTCCAAGAGATATTGCTTCTTCTGCAGGGTATTATGGTAACACACTAATTGATTTATTACAATTACCTTTCGCAGGTCATTCTTATACCGCGATAAATGCTCTTGATATGTTCAAATTAAGCAAGACTTTAGCAGCTTCTACAGGACTTGGACTTCATTACGGTCATTACACATATTCTTACCTGGTGGTTAAGGCATCGTTTGTTAGTCCATACTTAGTTTCGCCAGCTTTCAAGATGTCGTCACATGTGTCGTGGTCCCGGCAGCATATGTCAGTTTCTCTTTTCTCGCCCAGATCGTCGAAGTTTTCAGAGATATTGCCCGGTCCACACCACTTGGTTCCTTTGAAAAAAGAGTTAAAGTAAAACAATTTCAATTTCGTGTCATTTTTATTCATTCACGATCTTTTCATTTCTTTGGTAATCCTAAAACTCACAACACCATTTCTCCACTACTCCTAACATTTATGAACTTATCTTCTTGCCCTAGTCCTAAAATCTGTCAACCTTCTTTTACTCCACTACTCCTAACATTTATGAACTTCTCTTCTTGCCCTAGTCCTAAAATCTGTCAACCTTCTTTTACTCCACTACTCCTAACATTTATGAACTTCTCTTCTTGCCCTAGTCCTAAAATCTGTCAACCTTGTTTTACTCCACTACTCCTAACATTTATGAACTTCTCTTCTTGCCCTAGTCCT